AGCGCGGCGAGGAGATCTCGCCACGAGCCGGTGCCGCCGCCGCCCTGCTGCGGCCGCCAGCGGGGCGCCGCCCGGCAGCCGCCCGATGTTCCGGCAGTCCTGCGCCTGCGCGCACGGCTCGGCCAGGCGCGCGGGCATCCCTTCGGTGGCAGCTCGTGCGGGCCTCCCATACCCAGGAGACCGATTTCTGACCACACCCACTTCCCAAGGTGCCTTGCGGAAAGCGGTTTCCAGAGGTGGAGGTGGGCAGTCTCCCCGCCCCAGGGAAAGGAAAAACTACCCACTTCCACCCCCGAGGGCCTATCATAGAATCGAGGATCCAGAGGTGGATGTGGTCAGAAATCGGTCTTCGAATACCATCTCGTCGGCCCTTGCGAATGGACGCTAGTCGACGCGAGTCGACCCGAAATCGAAGCGAATCGACGCTAGCCGGGCGCTGAATCGGCGCTATCTCATCGACTCCCAGATGCCAATCGACGCCAGTCGACGCTAAAGATAGAACTGAAAGGGTATGCCAGGCCCCCTATGACCTGCTACCAAACAGCTCTCCTCCGCCGCAGCGCGCAGCCTGCTGATCCGTTCCTCCCGTGGCAAGCTCTCTGCGAGGATACTGCTGCCTCCGTGTTTTGCGGGATGCGGAGGGCACGTGGAGTGCACGCCGCTCTCTCCAGCTCCCCTGCGCTCCTCCGGCCTCGGCAGGTAGCCACCAGCGTCGTTGGAGGCTGCCGGCGCGCTCCTGGGCCATCTCGAGTGCCAGGCCAGCCGAGCGCACTGGAAGAACACATCATCAACATCATCTCCGGCTCCTGAGCTCTCATCTGGCGTCTGCGCGTAGCCACCACCGTGCCGTGCCTTCCATCGCACGCTGGAGGCTGCTGGCGCTGCTGCGGGCCACCCAAAAGTGCTGGGCCTGGCGCCGGGTTTCGCTTCCAGTTGTGGGCATCATTTCTTTGTTGGCGCTCCCTGCTGCGCAAGAATGCGGGGAAGAAGAGGAGGAGGGGAGGAGTGGGCAGTAGGCGGCAGAGAAAGGCAAGCTCGAAGGGGGGGGGGGGGCAGATGGGAGGGTTAGTAGAAAGGAGAGGAGCGGGGGGGGAGAGGGCGAGGGGCGCGGGAGGGGATACGGGAAGGGCAGCAGAGGAGAGGGCCAGGGAGGACGCCGCGCCTCTTCGCGCCGGCCCCCCGTGGTTCGAATTGGCGGGCCCGCGCCGGTGTCGGGGCAGGCCCTGGCGCGGAGGGGAGGAGGGCCTCCAGCCTCCAAGCTTTGCACACGATGTGTCCAGAAGGGGGCCGCGCGCGACGCGGGCCAGCTCCGCGGCGTGCACGGAGCGGCGCGCTGCGCCCCCCGCGCGGCCTGAGAGCACCTGTGCTCCTCGCCGTGCCTTCCTCCTCCCCCCCCCCCCCCCCGTGGCCCCCCCCCCCCCCTTGCCCCCCCTTGCCCCCTTGCCCCCCCCTTGCCCCCCCCCCCCCCCTCCCCCCTTGCCCCCCCCCTGGCCCGGTTCCCGCCGCCCGTCCCACGCCTCTCGCCCGCCTTCTCCGGTGCCCCAGCCCTCCGCCACGAGTCCCCCGTGCGCCGTCGCGCGCTCCTCCCTCCCCCAGCCCCTCGTTCTCGTGCGTGCGCCGCGTGTCCCCCGAGAGAGTGGTGTCCCCGACGTCCCGCATGTTCTCCGGGTCCCCCATTCCTCTCTCTCTCTCTCTGTCTCGCTTTTTTCTCACTCTCTCTCTATATATATATATATATTATCTCTCTCTCTCTTCCTTTCTTTGTTTATTGATTTCTTTCTCCCTCTCTCTCATTCTCTTTCTCTCTCTCTCTCTCTCTCTCTTTTGTCTCTCTCTCTCTCTCCCTCCCCCCGTTCATACGCCTTATGGTCCTGATCCCGATGCTGCAGCTGCTCCTTTCACCGATGGCTTCCTTGCAGCTGAGCGCTGTTCGTATGTGGAGTAATGCTGCATCTGCTGCTGTGGAACAATTTGTGCGTGTGGACCTCGAGCAGGCTCGAGCAATGCAGGCCCAAACCCTACTTGCACTCACTTCCTGGCAGGTTGAAATGGTCATGGCTTACTCCTCATGTCCTTGGGAAGGCGGGGAGGGGAGCGAGGACTCGCGCTTCATCACTCGAGCACAGAGGCAGACTAACACCGTGCGACAAGAGCCGTACGCCAGACTCTAGCCGCCTGAACTCCTTCTCCCGCTTCCTCCATCCCCAAGAGGAAGAGACGCCGTCACCGATCTGGAACGCAGCTGAGCGAGTGGTGTCCACCCGATCCCTCTGCAGAGCGGCACAGTGACAAAAAGCGGGTCGGCCCAGACCTTGCCCTAACTCTCGACACTGCCACGCCCAACGCCGCCGGCGCACGCTCTGCCGGGGCCTCCCACCGGCCCCTCCCGCCCTGTCCCCCCGCACCCGGACCAAAAGCCAGTTCGACACTGTCGGGTTCCTATAGCTGGTCTTGGCGGGATTGGTTGGGAAATCCGCCGGTGGGACATCTGAACATCCCACGGGGGAGCGACCTGGGTAGTGAACTCCGCTCGCACTCAGAGATCACTCCCGAAGCCCTCGGGTCATTTTCGCCATCCTCTCTCAGGCCAAGACCACCCCTCAAAACATCATGTCTCCCCCAAGACCCCCTCACAAAATTGCAAATTATCCGAACCTCGTTCAACCGTGTCGACAAAACATGGGCGACAATAGTCACACACAATAATTCTGGCACGTTGGACGCGTCCTGATTGCAGTGCAGACCGACAAGGTGAGCGATCTCGCTAGAATCCATGGAACGATCCGCCACAATCAGCTGTTCCCTCGCCCCCTCCCGCCATTCTCCTTTGACATATGGTTGCACAGACCGAGGACGTCGGGGAGCGGGCTCGGCAAAGCGCATTCGATGTCAAGATCGTCCCAAAGGCGATCGAGAAACCGACACAGCTCCATGCCCAACAGGCGTCAATGGTCAGCCCGCTCCACGGCGTACATCTGGGACTCCCGCCATTTTGATCGTGTTTCGGTGGCATGGCTCGCATGTAATCCCAACCGGACAGGATACGACGTGACGCCAGCTCGCTTCACTGCACAAGTCCCGTCGATATCCAGGACTTTTCGCACGACGGCGCTTCAAAAGGCCGTGCATGCACGTGTAGTGCGAGCCCTACTGGGTAGAAAACCAGAGAGAATGTTGCACTAACAATCTACGGCAACTGCCGCTGACTGCCTCGTCGAACTACGGCGTCTGCCGGATGGCGTCCATCGAACGGCGTCTATCGGGCGAACTCTGCGCAGATGGAAGGGAGAGACAGGAGCACACGTCGGGATAGACTGGCGACGAAGGGAACAGACAACGTGGCACGCTCTGCCGTGAAGCTCCACGCTTGCGCGTCGGGCATATGGGATCTCAGCAAGGGTCGTCGTGAAACAGTGGGTGCAACAGGGTCCTTCGCCGATGGAGGTCTGTCCAATCAGTGTTCACGCAGATCAGACACTGCTGCGAATGCCGCGTGTCTGCTCCGCGCGTGCAGCCAGCATCCCAGGTAGACAGTCCGCCCGCACGTGAAGCGGATGTCTGAGATAAGAGATTTAGAACCTTCACCTTGCCAACAAACAGACATTCAAATGTGTCTGGAGACTCTCGCTTGTTCAACCTTGCTGCCTTACCGTTCTCATGGTATCGCCAGCGCTCTCGGAACATTGGGACCGCAACCTATCTCACATGCGCCGCTTCACGTTTAGCTTTGGTGCTGATATTACTGCTGACGCGTTTCGTTTGGCTGCTGCGCTGTGTACAACTATTCGCATTGCATGGGCCGCGCTACGCATTAACTGTAGTCGCCTTGCCTGCATGTATGATGTGTGTTGTACTGTATTTCCTTGTGCTACAGTAGGAGCTCGACCACAACAAACCTTCCACAAAGAAGCCCAACCCTGAGACCCTAGGGCGTCCTCTGATTTTTGGCATGGTAATGTCACGCTTTCCATCGCAAGACCATCGACACACCCACACACACACACAAGAAACCCAGGGCATCCTGGAGGCAAGCAGGGTGTGTCTTGGCATGGGTTTCCAATGTAGCTTGCATGATTGCTATCCCTCAGGGCGTCTCGTCATTCTCGTCATTGCACTGGCTTGACAGGTACTGTTCCTCGCACTTGTGCTGTTTGGAAGTGCGCTGCGCTGCTTACCCTTGGCTGGGTAGTTCTTCCTCGCTTGACCTCGAACTGTCCCGCAGCGTCGCCCAGTAGGAGGAGGAGGAGGAAGGATGAGGAGAAGGAGGAGGAGGAGGGGGGGAGGAGGAGGAGAAGGAGGAGGAGAAGGAAGGAGGAGGGAGGAGGATGAAGGATGAGGGGGAGGAGGATAGCTGCGCGAACCACGACTGGTTGGAGTCGAGCAAGGAGGTGGAGGAGAAAGGCGGAGGAGGAGGAAGGAGGAGGAGGGGGAGGAGGAGGAGGAGGAAGGATGAGGAGGAGGGGGAGGAGGAGGAGAAGGAGGGGGAGGAGGAGGAGGAGGAGGAGGAGGAGGAGGAGGAGGAGGAGGAGGGGGAGGAGTAGGAGTACGAGGAGGAGGAGGATAATGGAGACAGAGGAGGAAGGAGGAGGGGGAGGAGGATAGCTGCGCGAACCACGACTGGTTGGAGTCGAACAAGACTTTGTGTCTCGCTAAATCCGAGAACGTCCCAAGAACCCCTTTCAGACGTCCAAAAGCCAGAAGCTCAACTCCGTCTCTGGAGACGACCCAGGGATGCTAACAAAGGCCCCCAAGACAGCCCAGGAGTCTCCCAGGACGGCGCAGCAGGCTCCCGAGAAGCCCCAAGAGTTTCCCACAGGCCCCAGAGAGGCCTCCCAGCCTGCAACGGGGCTGGTGAGACGAGCGAGGAGGGCATCAAGAGGAATGCGAGGACCTCCACAGCTCAGTCGTTCTCTGACGGTCCGGGGGCCTGGGGAGGCCACCGGGAGCCCGAGATCGCCAAAAGCCTCAGGACTCGATTCCGTCAGGACGCGCTGGTTTCAAAGCGAGGAAGCAAGAGCGGCAAGGACCAGCGAAAGAAGAAATATCATGGAAAGACGGAGGTGGGCCTGCAGAGATCTCGCGGTCGCCAGCACGAGCAAAATGAACACCTGCACCAGGTGAATTACAAAAAACGCCTAAGAGATCGCGAGGCTGCCCGGGCGCCAGGCTGGTATGTAATCTGGCCCGCTACCTTAAAAAGGTGACGTGCAACACTTCATGGTAAGGCAATCACTTCCCTCCGACTTGGTACCCCAATATTCCAAGGGCAAAAAGAAAGACGGGCCGATCACGCCAATGGTGAGGACTATAAAGAGGAGGAACGGGATAAGACAATCATGAAGAGCGAGAAGGATGATAGGCTGTCAGCATGTTCCTTCCCCTGCTCATCCCTCACGACATCTTCTCCCGACATAGCCATTTATAACCCGCGCACCTAGACAGAACTCCTATGCAGACGGCTGCTAGATCATCGCGAACAGAAGCGTGAGAACAGGTCGAGGCGGCGGTACCGCTTTACCTACTTTGCTATTTGGAGGCGCATAGTGCGCAGGGGGCAGGCTGCAGCGGTGCCCCCTGTAGGGTTGTACTGGCACCAGGCTGCAGTGAATGCACTGCCTTTGGTACAGAACAGAACCAATGCGCAAAGGCCCCCTGGCGGGCATCCGACTGTCCAATCCCTCGCTATGCTGCAGACACGGTGTGGTATGATACGCCTCTGCAGCGCGCTTTGGCTTCACCTGTAGCGTGAGTGTTAGCTGTAGCTCAGCTTCTTTCGAACGACAGCTTCAGCCTGAGCTGCAGCTCCAAAGTTACATTTGGCTATGCAGCCAGCTCATGGGCCAGTCCTTTCATCTTATTAAGAGTCGGCTACTGTACACATCCGGGCTCGCTTAGTTTCACTTTGTATTTCGGGCTTGGCTCACCGGAACATTCGCTTGTTGGCCTGGCAACTGCCTTGACACCAGCGTGGTTTTTGGCAGCGTCCCTGGCCATGGCCTTCAGTTGGAGCTCAGGGTCCTGCTACAGCCTGATCGTCCGCTAGATTTACGCACTGCTTTTCGGAACAAATGCTTCGCTTCAGCTTCATGCCGAGCTCAACTCCGACCATGACGTTCAACCTTGCCGCTGCGTTCGCAAAATATGACGCCAAAGACCCTCAGAACAGCCTGAGCCTCAACTCCTGAGCTCCAGCTCTACTTGAGGGTGGGTGCCGGGGTGGCTTTGCCGGGGTAGGGGTAGGGGGGGGGGGGGGGGGGCGATCTCAGTCCTGGGGCGGAATCCGAGCTCCAGCTCGCTCGAGGGACGGCCCCCTCGCCCAGGAGGGCCCCAACATGAGCCAAGAGACGCCCAAGATTGGCCCAAGAGGTCCCAAGACGGCTCCGGAAACCTCGTATATACCCGAAGGAAAATGTACAATTTTAGCATGTTCGCCTCTTGGGCCTTCAGAGAGTCGCTGACGCCCCAAGGGAGACCCGAAACGGCCCCAAAAGCTGCCAAGAAGGCTCCTGGACGGCCCAGGAATGGCTCAAGATGGCCCAGGAGGCCCCCGGAAAGGCCCAAGAGAACCCCAGCCTCGGGCCCCTGAGCCTGTCTCAAATGCAGTCGGACTTGGATTGGAGAGGACACGCGAGAGGACACAAGACCCTTCCGAGGGCCACGTTACCACAGAAATGCAGGAGGCATGGGTCGCAAGACGTAGGACACGAAGGTACCCTTGATCTGGCAAGGTCGACCTACTAATCCCGGCCGCCTGTAGTACATGCCCAGAGTGTGCAAGCACGCGCTGCAGTGGCAACGCTGCCCCGTGCCAGCGTGCTGATGAAGAAAACCACGCGCAAGCACGCGCTGCAGTGGCAACAAGGCTCGCTTCAAGCGTGCTGAACAACAACTCGGTTCGAGGGTGCTAAAAACAACAACTCTGCACAAATGTTTTTGTTAGATTACGCTTGCCCCGAACATCGAAATCTTGCCCCTGTGTCCGCTCGTCCTCTCTCGAGCAGGGGCCGACCGCCCCGGCATTCCTATAGGCATATCACGAAGCGTTCTTGGAATCCGAACACGTTCCCCAATCACCGAAACCACGCTCTTTGAATCGAATCCCGATGTGCTAGAACAGAACGGTCTGAGCCAGAAGCGTTGCAAGAACAGCTCGTGCAGACCACGAGATATTCTCACAACATCCTTGGGTGGGCCTACGGGCAAGCCCGGACGCTTCGCCGCTGCTCGTCCTCCCGCTGCCCTCCCCGAGCATCGCGTCACGAGGCAGCGGCCGCCCTCTGCGCGCTTCGGATGGCGAGCCGCACCTTCGGCCGAGGGCGCGGGCGGCGTGGCGGCGGCACGAGGGGGGCAAGGCGACGGGCTCCGAAGCCCACCCCCTCGCGGCCTTCTCGTCCTCCTCGTCCTCCTCCTCCTCCTCCTCCTCCTCGTCCTCCTCCTCCACCCCCTCCTCCTCGCCCTCCTCGTCGTCGTCCTCCTCCTCCTCCTCCTCATTTTCGTTTGAGGCAACTTAAGGCGAGCGCTTCGGCCTTCACGCATGCGAGGCACGTGCCATCACATCAGGCGGGCACTGTGCAAGAACCCCTCAAGAGGGGCACTGGCTGCTCAGCCCGATGTTTTGAAGAGAGACGGGTGAAGAAGAGGGATTTGTGGTCGAGGCTGGCATCGAACGCCTCCTTCATCAGCGGGCCTACCAGGCGCGTGGCCCAGGTGTCACATTATCTTCCTTCTCCTCCTCCTCCTCCTCCTCATCCTCATCCTCATCCTCATCCTCATCCTCATCCTCATCCTCATCCTCATCCTCATCCTCATCCTCATCCTCATCCTCATCCTCATCCTCATCCTCATCCTCATCCTCATCCTCATCCTCATCCTCATCTCATCCTGATCCTCATCCTCATCCTCATCCTCATCCTCATCCTCATCCTCATCCTCATCCTCATCCTCATCCTCATCCTCATCCTCATCATCATCATCATCATCACCATCATCATCATCATCATCATCATCATCGTCATCATCATCATCCCCATCCCCATCAGCATCATCGTCCCCATCAGCATCATCATCCTCCTCACCCACCACCTCCTCTCGCACATCTCCCCTTCCCACCCCCCCTCCTCCATCTCATCCACCACCTCCTCTCGCATCTCCCTCCTCCTCCTCTCGCACCTCCTCCTCCTCCTCCTCCTCCTCCTCCTCTCCTCCTCCTCGCTCCTCCTCCTCCTCCTCCTCCTCCTCCTCCTCCTCCTCCTCCTCCTCCTCCTCCTCCGGCCTCCCTCGCCCTCTTCGGGGTTGGACAGGCCCCCCTTTCGCAGAGCGCTCGCTCGCTGACGCAGCGTACACCGGGACGTCTGGCGTGGGTTGTTGCACAGCGTACGCCAGGCCCCCCGATGGACCGTGCATGTCGGGGATGGACAGGCCCCCCTTTAGCAAAACGTGGTTTCGTGAAAACGACCTGAGGCCCAAGCCTGGCGGGCGAAAACAACGGCCGCGGCGCCCTCTCGAGAACCGAAAACGGACAATTCACTGATCGACGTGTCGCTATTAGGGGTTCTGTCCACCTCCGACCTCTGCTCCCGCAGCCGCCCTCCCTCCCTCGCCCTCTGCTCGGACGCTGCTTCGCGGGGGGGGGGAGAATCGAAGGACGAAACATCAACACTGGTGCACCTTGTTCGAGCGCGTTCCGTCATCGTCGGCGATGACGGGCGTCATGGAGAAGGAGGGGGGCAGGGGGGGGGTATGACGTTACGCCCCCTCCCCCGCCGTGTGGCACCGGCACCACAGCCGCGCCCGCGCGCACGACGACGATGAGCGACGAGCGACGAGCGATAAGCCACAACGACGACGACGACGACGACGACGACGACGGCGACGACGACGGCGACGGCGGCGACGACGACGACGACGCGAGGAGGATGTCGGTGGATCTGCACCACAGCGCCTGTGTACACCACAATGTTCGCGTGCACCACAGCGCTTGTGTACACGACAACGCCTGCGTACTCCGCAACAGCCGTGTGCAACGCAGCGCCTGTGTGCACCACAGTGCTTGCGTGCACCACAGCGCCAGTGTACACCACAGCGAAACTGTACACTCCAGCAGCCATGTGCAACACAACGCCTGTCTACACCACAATGCTTACGTGCACGGCAGCGCCTGTGCACACCACAGCGCCTGTCTAAACCTCGGCATCCGCGTGCAACTCAGCGCTGGTGTACATCAGAGCGCCTGCGTGTACAAGACAAGTAGAAGGAGCATGTCGTTGAGGATCTGCTGCGGACAGCTCCACGCCACGCCAAGGATGTGCTGATAATATAATGCAGCGTTTTTCCCTCCTCCCTCCTCTGCCTCCGCCTCCTCCTCCTCGTCCTCCTCCTCCTCGTCCTCGTCCTCGTCCTCGTCCTCCTCCTCCTCCCTCACCCTTCCCCCCTGTCGTGCGGGTCGGCGCTACAGCGCACGTGCGCATCTCAGCGTGCACCGCAAAATGGTCGATTGAATCAATTCACTTGGTCTTCGGACGGCCAGTTAAGCTGGAGCAGAATTAGGATGATGCGCGCGGACTCCGGAGGACTCGTAGATTCCAGCGGCGCCCTCTTTTCCATAAGGATTCTTTTCCAAATCCTATATAAAACATGTGTCCCCTGTTGAATCCACAGGCGTTCCATTTTGTCAGAAAGGTTCATCATACATTATACAAACAACGGTGGTGTGTTGTTGCACACGGTTGCTGTGGTGCACACAGGCGCCGTGGTGTACACAGGCGCTGGAGTGCACGCAACCATTGTGGTGTACACAGGCGCTGCGTTGCACACGGCTGATGTGGTGTACGCAGGCGCTGTGGTGTACACAAGCGCTGTGGTGCTGGCAGGCACTGTGGTACACACACACACACACACACTGGCGCTGTGTTGCACGCGGCTGCTGTGGTGTACATAGACGGTGTGGTGTACACAGGCGCTGTGGTGCACGCAGGCACTGTGGTGTACACAGGCGTTGTGATGCAAATCGCACGGACATGCTGCTGCCACCCGACCTCGGTCATTCCCAGGCATCCCCAAACGCCGCCGGCGCCAAACGTGACGTCATCGGCCCCCTCCCCCCGCCCCCAAATGATTGCCGTCGTTGGCCCGGAATTGTTTTTTACATGCTCTAGCTGCGTCCGCGCGCACGACGACGATGAGCGACGAGCGACGAGCGACAACGACGACGACGACGACGACGACGACGACGGCGACGGCGACGACGGCGGCGACGACGACGACGACTGCGGACCAGACTCCAATGCGGATTACGCGGACACCTATGCGGATCACGATGCGCACGGCGGCAATGCCCGGAACGCCCGGTGGGGGGGAGCGTCACGGGGGCCATGACGCCCGTCATGCCGCAAGCAATGAGGAAACGCGCTCTTAGTGCGCCCTCGGTGCTCACTTTTGGGCCCCCTTTCCCTACAACTCTCGACTCCCCTTCTGCCACGTTGGAGGGTTCCAGCAACCCTGAACCCGGAAACGTTGACATCCCTCGAGGGGCAATCAATCCTTCACTTGAGCCGGCTTCCGCCTGCGGAGCCGCCCTGGCGGTAGTTGGTTTTCCAAACATGTAACAGGCAGGTCGTAGGTTTTCAATTTGCATAATTGTAACAGGCAGGTAGTTGGTTTTCCAAAAATAGTTCTCGCCGTGGCGCCGCGCAAAATTCGATGCAAACGTTTGCAAGAGCTTCACGGATGGAGAGCGGCTCCTTGTCAAAATGTGGCTCTCGCCCTCAGCGCCGCGCGCACTCGCCCCAAACATTTGCATCAGACGTTGACTCTCATGATTCACAGACCAGAAATGGTGCTTTGGACCGACTCAGCGCTGTCATGGCGCAACAGTTGTGTTGACTCGCGGTGCTGAAGTCCCAGGAATGGTGTTCTGACACGATTCTGGCCCGTCCAGTGACATCATTATGTTAAGCTCGTGGCGTTGAGGTCCTTAGAATGGTGTTTTGGCACGCTTCAAGAGTTTCAAACGGTTGTCCCTCAACGGGGCAGTTCGCTCAGTGGAAATGAACCCATGTAGGGGCCTCTGGAGGGGGAGTTTGGAGGAAGGATGTAGTCTCATATCGCTGTTGAGTATTGCGTTTACACTGGTCCTCCTCCTCCTCCTCCTCCGCCTCCTCCTCCTCCTCCTCCTCCTCCTCCTCCTCCTCCTCCCCCTCCCTCTCAACATCCTCAGCCCTCTCCTCCTCCTCCCCCCACACGCTGCAAAAAGATGGCATGGGTAACAAAACTAAGGGCAACCTCTTCCTCCTCCTCCTCCTCCTCCTCCTCCTCCTCCTCAGCCTCCTCCTCCTCCTCCTGCTCCTCCTCCGTCGCCCCCTTCTGCTTCTCCTCTGGAATTCCTGCCGCGTCGTGGCTGCCGGGAGCATCCACAGAATCCCCTCCTCCTCCTCCTCCTCCTCCTCCACCTCCTCTTCCTCCTCCTCCTCATCTCACCCACTTTGCTCGGAGCCTTGCGTTCCTTCTTGCGTCGCTTCTTCTCGTCGGGGTCGCAGAGGTGGCAGAACTTGCAGGCGACGCCTCGACAAAGGGGCGTCTGCAGCGAGCGACGCTCGGCCCCGCGACGGCTACGGGAGGCCTCCCAGGCGGCCAGCGGGGCAAGACGGCTCAAGAGAACCCCAAGATGCCCCACAAGGGCCCCGAGGAACTCCGAGTGTGGCCCAAAGGATTCCCGAAGACTGCCGCGCAGGGGCCACGACGAAGGCGAGAAGAGAACGCCCGACACGACACGGAAGAGCGCGCCGCGTGGTACGGCTCTCACGAGCCTCAGTCCACGGGGTGTCGCACGTCACGGCTGCCTGCGCGCCGCCCGCACGCTCGCCACCCAAGGTGCTGGGACGGCACGGCGGCGGGAGTCGCCGCAAACAGCTGGCGTGGCCCGCAAGAGGGTTCGCGAGGGCGCGCTGCTTTTCGAAGCCCGTGCCGCAGTCCGCATCCTGTTATCCGCACTGTCGTCGTCCTCCTCCCCCATTTGGTCTCTCTCCTTCCCCTGTCCATGCCCGCCCGCCCCCTTCCACAACCTCACTTGACTGTACCGTAACATCCGCCGCAATGTTCCCCAACAGTCCTGTGGTGTTGGGTCTTCGTTTTGAAGAGACGCGCGTTCCTCCTCCCGCTGGCCCCTCCTCCCCTCCCTCTCCCCTCCTCCCGTCCCGCCCCCCCTCATTTTGGCACACCCCTCACACGCTTCGTTGCCCCATAGGGAGCCCCACCGAAAGCCCAAATGCCAGCGCTCGCATGCGGCCACCGCACCATTGTGGCACACTGCTGACACGTTTCGTGGCCCCACAGGGAGTCCTAGCGAAAGCCAACATGCCAGCGTTCGCATGCGGCCACCGCACCAAAATTGGCACACCCCTCACACGTTTCGTGGCCCCACAGGGAGCCGCACCGAAGGCCCACATGCCAGCGTTCGCATGCGGCCACCGCGCCCAATTTTGGCACGCCCTCGCACGCTTTGTGACCCCTCGGGGGGTTTCACTGAAGGTTTATATGCCAGCGTTCGCATGCGGCCACCGCACCAAAGTTGGCACACCCCTCACACGCTTCGTGGCCCCATGAGGATCCCCACCGAAGGCCCACATGCCAGCGTTCGCAGGCACCCAACACACCCATGTTGGCACGCCCTTCGCACGTTTGGTAGCCCCACAAGGAGCTCCACCGAATGCGGTGCCCACAACTGCAGAAGGTTTGATTGTTCGCCAGGCTCACTGTCAAGCAACTGGCGCCAGAGATGGCCCCATTGGTGGAATCATGGGTTGCGCCATCGACTGCGCCAAAACTGGCAACAATCGCCGCAAAGACTGCGCCACAACATGCGCAACCTGTTGCGCCGGAGGATGCGTTATTAGCTGCACGATACGATGCGCCACATCTGGACCAAGCTGCGCCATAGGTTGCGATAGCAACTGGGCATTGCCTGCAATTGGTTGCGCCTGAGGTTGCGCTCGAAAACCGCCGAAATGTCAGACCACACTCAATGCGTTATGTCGCAGGCTGCCCACTCGGCCGCCGCAGCTCTGAACAATCTGCTACTGGTCACGCCAAGGTTGCGCCCGTGGACGCCGCAGCTTGCAACCGAATGCAATTGGGTGCGCGCTGCGCCCACGGCGACAGAAAGGAAAACCGTCTGTGAACGAGATCGGCCAGTTCTGTGTAGTCCGTCGGTCGATCCAGCTGGCTTCCCGCACTACAACTTCGGGCGATGTCCGCGCCGATCAAAATAGGGATGGCACACGTGAGGGTGCGGGGGGGGCCCACCTCCAGGAGTGAAACATCACCCAGGAAATTGGGTGAGGCTTTGAGCTTCTAGGGCCTCCAGAGGAGGCAGAGAGATGGTCCAAGAGGCCGGCCCCCGCTTCTGAAAGCGGACCTCCACTGCCTCCACACCCAGGAGAAAGGGGGAGGGATACCGAGGACTGGGTGCTGGAGAGAGCGCAGGCCCTCTAAAGACAGGGTGAAAACACGTCTTGCCAGTCGCCTTCCGTTCTCAGACTCGTCAATGGCCCTGGCGGCCATATCGCACCCCAACGCACGGATCCAAGACAGGCCCGCGTTCGAAAGGTCGACACATGCTGGGGTCCCTCTGCTCGCATTCTCGTGCGGCGCTGCTGCATGCGACCGCGTGCGTGCGGCAGCAGGGCCCTGGAGAGGAAATGCCACTTTCTTGAAGCGCCTCCCCAGAAAGCGCCGAAGCCGGGCAGCCCCGCCGCCGGCGACAACTGGCCAGAATGACATCCTTTTTCGACCTACAGTCGTGGCACTGCCAGAGCGAACGAGAAGTCAGACGCCGAGGCGCGTAGACACAACACGAAATGCAATGGCGGCAGCCAGCGCGCTGCCAAGCCACCCGCTCTGCCAGGCCTGCTGGTGCAGCAGCAGCACGCCGTTGTCCTCGGCCGGTCTCCGGGGCGGCGCGGCAAACGGGGAGCGGAGGGGCTTCTGTTGCGGCCGCGGCGGGCCTCGGCCACGAGCGGGCTCCCCCGCCCTGGATCAAACGAGCGGCCCGAAGGCCAGAGCACATTCCGAGCACGAGGTGGTCTTCACGTCAACGTCTTGTCTTTGCTGTAAGAAGGACACTGACGTGTGTATATGTATGACATACAAATATATACATATATATGTATGCATATGTATATGTATATGTATATATATATATATATATATATATATATCCGCCGCGCCCCCTTGTGGGGCCACCAGGCTGTAGGCGCGTGATTCGCAGTTTCCTGTACCAGTCGTAGGTTGTAGTTTCCAGTGTTACAGTTCTGCTTCTTGCTGGTTCCTGTGACTAGTTGACTTATTGCTGGTTACTGTAACTAGTTGATTGACCGCGCGAGGGGGGGAGGCCCAAAATGGCTTTTTAGCGTCCCCTGCGCGCGTTGTCTGAATTGCTGGGGGGGCTCGACATCGACACCCCTCACGCAGATCCGCGGGGTCAGGGTCCAAAAACACACGGGATTTGCCATATTTCTGATATTCGGTGCCACCCCTTACGCAGATCCGCGGGGTCAAGGTCAAACAAACACAAGGGATTTGCCACATTTCTGAAATTCGGTGCCACCCCTCACGCAGATCCGCGGGGTCAGGGTCCAAAAACACATGGGATTTGCCACATTTCCGAAATTCGATGCCACCCCTCACGCAGATCCGCGGGGTCAGGGTCAAAAAACACAGGGGATCTGCCACATGTCTGAAAGTCGGTGCCACCCCTCACGCAGATCCGCGAGGTCAGGATCCAAAAACACAGGGGATTTGCTACAGTTCTGAAATTCGGTGCCACCCCTCACGCAGATCCGCGGGGTCAGGGTCCAAAAACAGGAGATTTGCCATATATTTCTGAAATTCGGTGCCACCCCTCACGCAGATCAGAAGGGTCAGGGTCCAAAAACACAGGGGATTTGCAACATTTCTGAAATTCGGTGCCACCCCTCACGCAGATCCGCGGGGTCAGGGTCAAAAAAACACATGGGATTTGCCACATTTCTGAAATTCGGTGCCACCCCTCACGCAGATCCGCGGGGTCAGGGTCCAAAAACACAAGGGATTTGCCACATTTCTGAAATTCGGTGCCACCCTTCACGCACATCCATCGCAAGGCGTGGTAACCCAAACTGCGAGAACTCCCTCGGCCCTTTAATCGCAAGGTGTGGTAACCAAGCCCGTAAACCATACACGTCTTACCAATCGCCAGGTGTGGTAACCCCTCTTGTGATCAGTTGGTTTTGCTGATTGCGAATCGGCTTCGCATGAAGTTTCGATACTGCTTCACGACAGCGCCAAGGCCTCATGACTTAGCTCTTCCATGGCCCATTCTCCGAGAGAGGGGGCCGGCGGCAGGGGGCGAAGCCCTTACGGATATATTGATGCGAGGCAACTGGTCAAGATGCTAGGCAGCTTGTCAAGATGCCGCGTGCCTACGCAGTGGCATCCCCGTCGCCTGTCGCGTGCCGCCGTCCTGGGGACGAGAATTGAAGAATGCCGCAGTGGCCACAACAGTCTGCTCTGGTGGTCACCGCGATGGGGCGCATCAAAACACGTGCCCTTGCAATAGATAGGCCACTCCACCCTAATCGCTCCACTGGCGGGCCAGAGCAACATCCAATGCGGGCGTGGATGGCGGGGCAAAAGGAAACTCTCTGAAGAGAGTCCGCTCGATCCACCATCTCGCCCCGGACGCGCCTGCTGCCCCTAAAGGCGCCCCATCCTGCGGCGGGATGCTGTCCGCGACCTCGTCGTGGTCGTCTGGGCCTGGGGCCTCGTCGACAGCTCCGTTGGCAACTGGCCGGATGCCCCAGCGCAGTCCCACCAAGACCTCGCGGCACGATGTTGCTCCATCTTTCGCGAGGTGGGCATGCAACGCTCCCGCTGTCCGCGCCGCCTGCTCTGTCAGAGCCGTCGTGTCCCAGACGAGGTCGACTTGGGCGCCCGAGTTATCCGGGGTAACTCGGGTCCAGGGTAACTCGGGTTTGGATCCCCGAAAAAGGAACCCGAATTAGCCCTCACCCGAGTTACCCCTGATGATGTGGAGCTCTGGACGCCCGAATTGTCCGGGGGAACTCGGGTCCGGGGGAAGTCGGGTTCGGATTCCCGAAAAACGAACCCGAGTTAGCCCTGACCCGAGTTACCCCTGATGACTCGGGGCTCTGAGTCGACGTCCTCCGGGGCTGCCGCTGCTCTTCCGCGCCAGGCGCTGCGCCCCGCTGCGACGGCGGCCGCCGCGACGCGGCCACGGGTGCTGTGCACCACGGAGAGTCCGCGGGCGCGCACGCACCCCATGCACGGCCCCACATGTGCTGGCGATGAGCTGCCCATCGGTCGGAAGAAGCAGGAAGAAGCATGACGTAGGAAGGCGTCCAAAGCAGATGGGAGGTTCGCCCGCCCCCGAAGGAGGACGGGAAAGGGGTGAAGCCGCTCGACCCTTGAAGTAGAAAGCCTAAGGCAGATTGGAATCTGGGAAGCTGGAAAGACCGACTTCCAACGACCGATGGGTAGTAGTCACAGCCCCACAGTGGTGCTGCTGAGGAACTGCCCCTG